CATATATTGAAGAATCCTTACATCCCTGGCATAAACCCCACTTGATCATGGCGTATGATCCTTTTAATGTGTTGTTGGATTATGTTTGCTAGTATTTTGTTGAGGATTTTTGCAGCTATATTCATGAGTGATATTGGTCTGTAATTTTCTTTTTTTGTAGTATGTTTGTCTGGTTTTGGTATCAGGCTGATGGTGGCCTCATAGAATGAGTTTGGGAGGGTTCCTTCCTCTGCAATTTTTTGGAAGAGTTTGAGAAGGATGGGTGTTAGCTCTTCTCTAAATGTTTTATAGATTCACCTGTGAAGCCATCTGGTCGTGGACGTTTTTTGTTGGAACATTTTTAATCACACTTTCAATTTCCTTACTTGTGACTGGTCTGTTCATCTTTTCTGTATCTTCCTGGTTCAGTCTTGGAAGGTTATACCTTCCTTAGAATTTGTCCACTTCTTCCATGTTGTCCATTTTATTCACTTAGAGTTGCTTATAGCAGTCTCTTATGATGCTTTGTATTTCTGTGGTGTCTGTTGTAACTTCTCCTTTTTCATTTCTAATTTTATTGATTTGAGTCCTCTCCCTCTTTCCCCTGAGGAGTCTGGCTAAAGGTGTATCAATTTTGTTTATCTTCTCAAAGAACCAGCTTTCAGTTTTATTGATCTTTGCTAATGTTTTCTTTGTTTCTATGTCATTTATTTCTGCTCTGGTCTTTATGATTTCTTTCCTTCTACTGACTTTGGGTTTTGTTTGTTCTTCTTTCTCTGGTTCCTTTAGTTGTAGGGTTAGATTGTTTATTTGAGATTTTTCTTGTTTCTTGAGGTCGGCTTGTATTGCTATAAACTTCCCTCTGCGAATTGCTTTTGCTGCATCCCATAGGTTTTGGATCGTTGTGTTTTCATTGTCATTTGTCTGTAGGTATATTTTGATTTCCTCTTTGATTTCTTCAGGGATCTCTTGGTTATTTAGTAACGTATTGTTTAGCCTCCATGTATTTGTGTTTTTTATCGTTTTTTTCCCCCTGTAATTGAGTTCTAATCTCATAGTGTTGAGGTCGGAAAAGATGCTTGATATGATTTCAGTTTTCTTAAATTTACCAAGGCTTGATGTGTGACCCAAGATGTGATGTATCCTGGAGAACGTTCCATGTGCACTTGAGAAGAAATGTAATCTGCTGTTTTTGGATGGAATGTCCTATAAATATGAATGAAATGTGTCTGGTCTTTTGTGTCATTTAAAGCTTGTGTTTCCTTATTAATTTTCTGTTTGGATGATCTGTCCATTGGTGTAAGTGAGGTGTTAAAGTCCCCCACTATTATTGTGTTAGTGTCAATCTCCTCTTTTATAGCTGTTAGCAGTTGCCTTATGTATTGAAGTGTTCCTATGTTGGGTGCATATATATTTATAGTTATTATATCTACTTCTTGGATTGATCCCTTGATCATGATGTACTGTCCTTCCTTGTCTCTAGTAAGATTCTTTATCTTGAAGTCTGTTTTATTTGATATGAGTATTACGACTCCAGCTTTCTTTTGATTTCCATTTGCATGGAATATCTTTTTCCATCCCCTCACTGTCAGTCTGTACGTGTCCCTAGGTGTGAAGTGGGTCTCTTGTAGGCAGCATATATGGGTATTATTTTTGTAACCAGTGAGCCTGTGTCTTTTGGTTGGAGCATTTAATCCATTCACGTTTAAGGTAATTATCGATATGTATGTTTCCATGACCAATTTCTTAATTGTTGTTGGTTTGATTTTGTAGGTCCTTTTCTTCTCTTGTGTTTCCCACTTAGAGAAGTTCCTTTAGCATTTGCTGTTGAGCTGGTTTGGTGGTGCTGAATTCTCTTAGCTTTTGCTGGTCTGTAAAGCTTTTGATTTCTCTGTCGAATCTGAATGAGATACTTGCTGGGTAGAGTAATGTTGGTTGTAGGTTGTTCCCTTTCATCACTTTAATTATATGGTGCCACTCCCTTCTGGCTTGTAGAGTTTCTGCTGAGAAATCAGCCGTTAACCTTATGGGAGTTCCCTTGTATGTTATTTGTTGTTTTTCCCTTGCTGCTTTGAATAATTTTTCTTTGTCTTTAAATTTTGTCAATTTGATTACTCTGTGTCTCGGCATGTTTCTCCTTGGGTTTGTCCTGCCTGGGACTCTCTGTGCTTCCTGGACTTGGATGGCTATTTCCTTTCCCGTGTTAGGGAAGTTTTTGACTATAATCTCTTCAAGTATTTTCTCGGGTCCTTTCTCTCTTCTCCTTCTGGAAGCCCTACAATGCGAATGTTGTTGTGTTTAATGTTTTCCCAGATGTCTCTTAGGCTGTCTTCATTTGTTTTCATTCTTTTTTCTTTATTCTGTTCCACAGCAGTGAATTCCACCATTCCTTCCTCCAGGTCACTTATCCATTCTTCTGCCTCAGTTATTCTGCTATTGAGTCCTTCTAGTGTATTTTTCATTTCAGTTATTATATTGTTCATCTCTGTTTGTTCCTTAATTCTTCTAGGCCTTTGCTAAACAATTCTTGCATCTTTTCGATCTTTGCCTCCATTCTTTTTTCGAGGTCCTTGATAATCTTCACTATCGTTCTGCAGTCTTTTTCTGGAAGGTTGGCTGTCTCCACTTCATTTAGTTGTTTTTCTGGGGTTTTATCTTGTTCCTTCATCTGGTACAAAGTCCTTTGCCTTTTCATGTTGTCTATCTTTCTGTGAATGTGGTTTTCCTTCCACAGGCTACAGAACTGTAGTTCTTCTTGTTTCTGCCGTCTGCCCTCTGGTGGATGAGTCTATGTAAGAGGCTTGTGCAAGCTTCCTGATGGGAGGGAATGATGGTGGGTAGAGCTGGGTGTTGGTCTGGTGGGCAGAGCTCAGTAAAAGTTTAATCCGTTTGTCTGCTGATGGGTGGGACTGGGTTCCCTCCCTGTTGGTTGTTTGGCCTGAGGCGACCCAGCACTGGAGCCTACCCAGCTCTTTGGTGGGGCTAATGGCAGACTCTGGGAGGGCTCAGGCAAAGGAGCACTTCCCAGAACTTTTGCTGCTAGTGTCCTTGTCCCCATGGTGAGCCACAGCCACCCCCCACCTCTGCAGGAGACCCTTCAACACTAGCAGGTTGTCTGGTTCAGTCTCCTATGGGGTCACTGCTCCTTCCCCTGCGTACTGATGCACTCACTACTTTGTGTGTGCCCTCCAAGAGGGGAGTCTCTGTTTCCCCCAGTCCTGGCAACGTCCTGCAATCAAATCCCGCTAGCCTTCAGCATCTGGTTCTCTAGGAATTCCTCCTCCCATTGCCGGACCCCCAGGTCGGGAAACCTGACGTGGGGCTCAGAACCTTCACTCCAGTGGGTGGACTTCTGTGGTGTAAGTGTTCTCCAGTTTGTGAGTCACCCACCCAGCAGTTACGGGATTTGATTGTAGTGTGATTGTGCCCCTCCTCCTGTCCCATTGCGGCTCCTCCTTTGTCTTTGGATGTGGGGTATCTTTTTTGGTGAGTTTCAGTGTCTACCTGAACATGATTGTTCAGTAGTTAGTTGTGATTCCGGTGCTCTCGCAACAGGGAGTGAGCTCACGTCCTTCTACTCCACCATCTTGAACCAATCTCATGGATTTTTTTCTTAAAATATAAGTGTTTCAATCCATTACAGTTATTTTCTTTTTGATGTTTCCAGAGTTTATTCCTGTGTGCTTTTGATACAACCCTATCGTTTTTAATAGTTTGTTTTCTTTCTGTCTCATTAAGAAATCCTGGCCTCATCTTTTGTGTGTCCTTCCTGCTTCTGACCTTAATTTGCCATTTCTTTAAGAAGTTTTGGTTTCTTTTAGTGGGAAAAGTTTTTTTGTTTTTTTTTTTACATCTTTATTGGAGTATAATTGCTTTACAATGGTGTGTTAGTTTCTGCTATATAACATAGTGAATCAGTTATACATATACATATGTTCCCATATCTCTTCCCTCTTGCGATTCCCTCCCACCCTCCCTATCCCACCCCTCCAGGTGGTCACAAAGCACCGAGCGATCTCCCTGTGCTATGCGGCTGCTTCCCACTAGCTATCGATTTTACATTTGGTATTGTATAAATGTCCATGTCACTCTTCCACTTTGTCCCAGTTTACCCTTCCCCCTCCCCGGGAAATAGTTTTTAAAGACCACAGTCTGGATGGTAACTACTAGTATTGCTTCTAGGCCTTTTCAGCGCATAGATGATAAAAACATAGTTTTTAGAAGGAGAAAAATAGGACATGAGTTAATACTGTTATTTCCAAGTAAAACTTAAGGTCACTGTGCTTTTTCACTTCTTGGGTTTTATATTTAAATTCCTTTATCTTAAAAACCTTGATTTCTAATTACATTAACAAAATTATCTCTGTCTTGCTGTATCTTACCGTATCAACATAATACTTTCAAAATAAGACTACGACAATTACTACAAACCATAAAACTACTAAACGCAGTCTTAGGAATATACGGTCAAATGAGTTAAATATTTTCTCTGTGTGGTTATGCCATGGGCTTGATATATACCTAACATTCCATCCAGTTGTTTTTTCAGTTTTTAGGGATTTTTTCCCCTTTACTTGTTAATTATTAAACATTACGTGGTTCCCAAGTCAATGCTATAAGACAAGGTACCTGCAGAGACTATTATCTTCCATTCCTGTCCCCTTCATTCTGTTCCTCCTTTCCTCTATAGGTAAGTATTTTTATTGTGATTTTTTTCTTTCACCCATGAGTGATTTAGATGTATTGCTTAAATTTCCAAATATTTGAGGATTTTCCAAGTATTCTATTATTGGTTTCTAGGTTACTTCCATTATAGTGTGAGAATATGTTGTAGATAATTTTAATTCTGTTAGATTTGTTAAAGTTTGTTTTAGGGTCCAGAAATTAGTGTGTCTCGATGAGTGTTCCAGATGTACTTGAATGCGTTTAAGTGTTGCTGGGTAGAATGTTCTATGAGTGCCTGTTAGGTCAAATTGATTGCTAGGTTTGTTTATGTATTCTGTAACTTCACTGTTTTTTAGGGTCCTATTTTTTCTGCTACTGAAAGAGGAGTGTTGAGATCTCCAGCTGGAATTGTAACTGGCTTCAGTTCTGTGAGTTTTTGTTTCACATATTTTGAAGCTCTATTTTAAGTGCATACATCTTTAGGATTGTTGCCTTCTTGATGAATTGACCCTTTTATTATTATGCCCCTTTTTATCCCTTATAAGTATTTCTTGTTCTAAAGTCTACTTTATCTGAAATTTTTTGTTCTAGAACCAGTTTTTTTTTAATATAAATTTATTTATTTTATTTATTATTTTTGGCGGCGTTGGGTCTTCACTGCTCCGAGCGGGCTTTGTCTAGTTGTGGCGAGCGGAGGCTACTCTTTGTTGCGGTGCACGGGCTTCTCATTGCAGTGGTTTCTCTCGTTGCGGAGCACGGGCTCTGGGCATGCGGGCTTCAGTAGTTGTGGCTTATGGGCTCTAGAGCTCAGGATAAGTTGTGGCGCACAGGCTCTGCTGTTCCACGGCCTGTGGGATCTCCGCGGACCAGGTCTTGAATGTGTGTCCCCTGCACTGGCAGGCAGATTGTTAAGCACTGCTTCACCAAGGAAGTCTGATTAGTATAATTTCTAATGAGAAGTTGGCTGTCATTCTTATATTTGTTCCTGTGTATGTAATATGTCTTTTTTTTTTCTGGCTGCTTATATAATTTTTAAGAAAGTTCAGTAGTATTATTGTATGTGTATTTTCTTCTGCTTGGGGTTCTTTAATTTCCTAGAATCTGTAGGGTTATAGTTCAAATCCAGCTGAGAAATTTTGGCTGTTTCTCTAAACATTGTTTTCTGTCTCCTTTGGAATCCAACTGACACATATTTTAGACTACTTAATACTGGAGTCTCTGTGTTTGTTTTGTTTTGTCTTGTGTGCTTTTCTCCCTGTGCTTCAGTTTGCATAGTTTCTCTTGCTGTCTTCACATGTACTGATGTTTCCTGTCAGTGTCTAATGTGCTTTTACTCCCATCCAGGGTATTTTTCACTCCAGATATTGAATTGTTCATTTCTAGAGACTCCATTTGCAACTTTCTTATATCTCCCATTTTTCTTATGTTCATTATCCTTTACATTCGTTTTTTTTTCTTCTTTTTTTTTCTTGCGGTACTCGGGCCTCTCACTGCTGTGGCCTCTCCCGTTGCGGAGCACAGGCTCCGGATGCGCAGGCTCAGCGGCCATGGCTCACAGGCCCAGCTGCTCCGCGGCATGTGGCATCTTCCCGGACCGGGGCACGAACCCGTGTCCCCTGCATCGGCAGGCAGACTCCCAACCACTGCGCCACCGGGGAAGCCCTCCGTTACATTCTTGAACATATTTATAATAGCTGTCTTTAAGGTAGTCATCTGCTAATTCCGTGGTCTCTCTCCTGAGTCTGTGGCTATTCACTGTTTTCCTCTCCTGGTTATGGGTCATTTGCTTGCTTCTTTGCCTGCCCAGTAATTTTGGATTAGGTGGTGGATGTTGTAAATTTTATGCTGTCACATGCTGAATTTTCTTGTTGTTCCTTTAAAGAGCGTTGGGCTTTGATCTGGCAGAAAGTGAAATTATTGGTGGATCAGTTTGATGCTTTCAAGGCTTGCTTTTAAGGTCCAGAGCAGCCTTTACTCTAGACCTGATTGAAGATACACCATTGACGCGTGATCTTTCTTAGGACTCGACCCAGTGCCCTTTGTATCGTGAGGCTGTTGCACTCTGGTTCTTGGGAACGTGAACTACTCGCCCTCTGTTGAGTTCCAGGAAT